GTCAGCAGTGCCCTGGCAGCCAGGAGGGCCAACGGTGTCCTGGGGGGGCATCAGGCACAGCATCGCCAGCCAGTCGAGGGAGGGGATTGTCCCGCTCTGCTCTGCACTTGGGCAGCCTCACCTTGAATACTGTGTGAAGTTTTGGGCACCACAATATAAGAAAGATATTAAGCCATTAGAGAATGTCCAAAGGAGGGCAACGAAGATGGTGAAGGTTCTTCCCCCAGAGGGTAATTGGGTACTGGAACAGGCTCCCTAGGAAAGTGGTCACAGCACCAAGCCTGACAGAGTTCAAGAAGCATTTTGATCATACTCTCAGGCGCATGGTGTGACTCTTGGAGATGGTCCTGTGCAGGGCTAGGAGTTGGACTTGATGATCCTTGTGGATCCCTTCTAACTGATTAATCTATGATTCAGTATTCAAAATTGTTAAAATTGGGGTGCCTGGCTGTAGTGGGGAAACAGATTAGCTATATGTTTCTAACATAGAAGTTATGGTGACAGCAGTTTGCAAGAGATTTTGATCTCTGCCACAAATTCTGTTTTAATCTGCTTGCTAACTCAAAAGGTAGTAGTGCACCTTAGTCCATGTTTGAAAGTTAAACTTCAGATGAGCAACTACTTAAAGGGAAAAGATAAAAAAAATAGCTAGAATTTACTGTTGACAGACATTTTTGTTATTTTCCACTTTCAGTTTTACTGCTTGAAAGCAATTATTTAAATAAATATATTTTTCCATTTCAGATGAAAGCAGTGGCTGGTATGAAGATGTCTTACCAGGTACAACAGGCAATCAATACCTGCCCAAAGGATCCTGTAAGAGGTTTTAGACATGATGAGTCATCCAATGCACTGTGTTCACACCTATACTCCATGATTCGAGGGAACCGTCAACACAGACGAGCGTTTCTAATTTCTTTACTCAACCTCTTTGATGATACTGCAGTAAGCATCACATTTCCTTCACTTATAAAGAATATAAAACATACCATTACATTTTGCAATATATTTTTATGACATAATTATTGACAACTTTATTTCTCTAAGGTACTTTGTTTTGTTTTATAAGGTGTTTACCTAATAGAATGCATCAGTCACTTTTGCATCATTTGGTACCTTTCTGTACTCAGTTTGGGTTTTTAGAAATAATGTGTCTTCAGGTCTGACTAAATTTTGCATACATAAATGTTGTTTAGAGTGGTTTTGGGGGGCATGTAGAATAAAATTTGTGATCCTTTTTGTTTGTTTTAGACTGTTAGGAACACAGGTTAAATGTATAAATCTAAGATATTTTTATGTATATTTGTATGTATTTTTTTTTTAACTTCCAGAAAACAGAGGTGAATATGCTCTTGTACATAGCAGACAATCTAGCCTGTTTTCCTTATCAAACACAGGAAGAGCCACTGTTTATAATGCATCATATAGACATTACACTATCAGTTTCTGGTAGCAACCTACTACAGTCATTTAAAGAGGTATGTGCATTTATATTTGAGTATATTTATTACGGTGGCAGCATAAGCTTCTATATATTTTGGTCAATTTTTCAGTGAATACAGTACCATTATTATGATATGGACCAGTAGATGTTACTTTGTAACTGGTAGTTAAAAAACAAACAACCCTTTCTGTTCTGGCCTGTATCTGGTAGACACTAACTAAAAACTTTCCTTACATTGCAGTTTATGTTATTAAAAAAGAATTATTAATAATAATATTAAATCTATATCATTCCCTAATATTGCTGAATTAATTTGAATTATTATTAATTGCATTTATAGTTTTAATTTAAAAATCCAGTTTGCTTTCTGTTTTGTTGTCAAGTAGCTGATAGCAGTTGCATGTGTGTCACCTGGGAGACTTTAAATACATTATTTATTGTAACAGTGCACAATTTGTCTTTTCTTAAGGTAGTATATAAGAACCCCAATAATGGTATAGTATCTGTTGCTATGGCAATACACAACCCTGTAAGAAAAAGGCATTTGTTTCTTGTACTGTGTCCAATTATGGGCTCCTCAGTATAAGAGAGACATGGAGCTCCTGGAGTGGGTCCAGTGGAGGGCTACAAAGATGATTAGGGGACTGGATCATCACTCTTATGAGGAAAGGCTGAGGGAGCTGGGCCTGTTCAGCCTCGAGAGGGAGAGGAGAGGAGAGGAGAGGAGAGGAGAGGAGAGGAGAGGAGACAGAGAGGAGACTGAGAGCGGATCTCACCACTGTCTGTCAGTATCTGCAGGGAGGTGTCAGAGGATGGACCAGGCTCTGCTCGGGGGTGCCCAGCAATGGGACAAGAGGCCCCAGGCACAAACTGATGCCCAGGAAGTTCCACCTGAACATGAGGAAGAACCTCTTTCCTGTGCAGGTGACTGAGCACTGGAACAGATTGCCTGGGGAGGTTGTGGAGTCTCCCTCACCGGAGATATTCCAGAACTATCTGGACACAATCCTGTGCCACATGCTCTGGGATGACCCTACTGGAGCAGGGAGGTGGGACCAGATGACCCACTGTGGTCCCTTCCAACATGACCCATTCTGTGATTCTGTGATTCCTAAAGACTTCAGTGTCTTCATTTCCTGGACAACTTTAACAGTAGAAGGTCCAAACTGTCAGGAAACAAACCCATTCCTAGAATTTCCAGTCTGACTAGTAAGTATAAGTCAGAGTTGATACCTGGAAAGTACACTGCTTTGAATTTTCACCCTACCAAAGTTGATTTTTAATCTGCTAGAAAGAGACAGCACATTAGATGGGGGACCAGCACACAGAGGATGAGATCCTACTTGGGACATCTTAAGTTCTGTGTTATGAAAAAGCATACTATGTGCAGTAATAATGCAGGTGTGAAATTCTGTAGCTCTGCAAGTAGTGGAACTGAACATTAGTAATACTGTATATGATGATTTGGGGGTTTCTCTGGTCAGCGGTGTAATTAGTGTCATAGGATTTTAACAGAAACAAGGATTAAAACCAACTTGGACTAGTCTGTACCAAAGTACATATGGAAATATAGGTAATATGCAAAGATTATATTCAGGTGAAAAAAAAATGGAATTTTCTTCCTGATTTATTGTATTTGGCTTTTTACTGCATGTTACTGTCTCCAATAACAAACTTGAGCAGTCTTTTTAAGAATAACGTGCCAGTGGAGTACTTCTTGCTTCAGTTCCTTCTCTAACCACCTTGCAAAAAAAGCGGACTTTGGATCAATTTTTCAGGGACCTTGGGTTATAATTCAGCATCTTTTTGTCATAAATACTTTTAATCTTTGAATATCAAGTTATGAATATCAAGTTATGAATTAATAATATTGTTCAGGGAATTCTTCCTCATTTAAGTCAATAAGGATTTTTGGAAAGATTTTTTAGAAATGTACATAATGCTACTTACGCTAATTTTGGAATGTGCGTTAATTTCCTTGTCTCGCAGTCTATGGTGAAAGACAAAAAAAAGGAAAGAAACCCTTCATCAGACGAGGAGACTGAGAGTGACAGTAACAGTGGTAGTGAGAGCGAAAGTGAGGAGGAAGCTTCTAAGCCTCGGAGGTTACGGAAACGAGTAAACTCTGATTCAGATTCTGATGAAGAAAATGATATAAATGCTGTGATGAAATGTTTACCAGAAAATTCAGCTCCTTTAATTGAATTTGCAAATGTTTCCCAAGGCATATTATTACTTTTGATGCTGAAACAGCATTTAAAGAACCTCTGTGGATTCTCTGATAGGTAAGGATATTTAGATAATAGGCCATCTTGTAAGGATTACGTTTGGAAATTGGGGGGGGGCTTAGTTGATTGTTGATAATTGTTTCAACAATAGATTTGTATGAGAGAAAAACAAATATAGGTTGAATGCAATGAAACTTTGGCTTAGAAAAAGCAATCATTTCATTTCTTACCAGGATGTCTATTGTATACTGAATGGTTAAAATATAACTACTTATATTGAAGATTTTTAAAAGCTTTTCCTTGAAATTGTTTTGGACTTTCCTTAAAAGCTCTTCCCTTTTGTTTCTTTAAACAGTAAAATTCAGAAATATTCTCCATCTGAATCTGCAAAAGTTTATGATAAAGCGATAAACAGGAAGTCAGGAGTGCATTTCCATCCAAAACAAACTTTGGATTTTCTGCGGAGTGATATGGCTAATTCCAAGATCACTGAAGAAGTGAAGAGGAGTATAGTAAAACAGTACTTAGATGTAAGTAAAGTTGCTTTGCAGAAAATCTGAAATTCTTTCAGACTAGGTAACACAGTATAAACTTGAAAGTAGATGCTGATGTATTGGATGAACATTTCAAACTGTTAACTTTCTGGTAATCTTATGTGATATACTGATAACTCACAATTTCCTTTCTGGATGTTTAGCAGGATTATCTTTCAAAGTATTCTAATAAATTTAAACACAATAAAAATTATTTCAACTGAAAGATATTCATCTTTACAGAGTATTTTCTAATTTCTTGTGTCCATCTTGTATACCTCTACTATATAACTTGTTTCCTTTATCCCTGAGTGTTTCCATCATAAGAATAGAGACTAGATCTAGTGTTTTTACTCTTTTTTTGCTTTTTTTTTTCCCAATTCTTTAAAATATTAATTACAGAAAGCTTGCAATTCTGGAAACAAAGGAAGAAAGCTTTTACATATTTACTAGAAAATGAAAGTAAAATGTTTGTAGAACAAAACAGGCTGTTGAAGTTTGAAGTTGTCTGCCATTTGTTTTACACTGTTTCTTTACCTTTTTATTTGGTTTTTATTTAATGTAGTGTGATATGAATGTCTATTTTTAAAGTTTGAATGTAGACTGATCTGTTCTTGGGGGTTTATTTAATAGTTCAAGCTCCTTATGGAACATTTGGATCCTGATGAAGAGGAAGAAGATGGAGAGGTGTCAGCTAGCACAAATGCTCGTAACAAAGCAATTACCTCGCTTCTTGGAGGAGGCAGCCCTAAAAACAATGCAGCTGAGACAGAGGATGATGAAAGTGATGGGGAGGATAGAGGAGGAGGCACTTCAGGGGTGAGGCGGAGGAGGAGTCAACGTATTTCGCAGCGTATTACGTAAAATTATTTTTATGTGCTTATAAATGTCAGTCTATTATATTAAATGTACAACAAGTAATGTAATCCACATGAAAGCATTTTGTAGATAGAGATTCTCTACTTAACCATTTATACAACTTTTGTAGAAAGTTTAACAGAAAAGACAATAAAAAAACAAACTAGAAAATGAGATTTATCCCATATAAAAATTTATTAATTTTCCTTTGGAATGTACTGTGTGTTATCCTTTTTATTGTTGCCAAGTTTTTATGTAGCTTTATGATTCGTGTGTATATATAATTTTATATATCAATAAGAGATAAAGACACGGGTACAAATTAAGAGTATGTGATTTTACAAGGATATGTTAACCCCTTGGCGCTGGCGGTCACGGTGCGTGGAATGTGTGCTGGGAAATCCCAACTCCCGGCGTCAAGGGATTAAAAGCAATAAAAGCAATAATTTCACTAAAGTTCTTTTGTGTAACACTTGGTCTTTTTTCCCCCCCAATGTTTTAGTCATTGAGAAGGTCAAAACGAAATTCAGACTCTACAGAGTTGGCAGCACAGATGAATGAAAGTGTTGATGTCATGGATGTCATCGCTATTTGCTGTCCAAAGTACAAAGACCGACCACAAATTGCAAGAGTAGTACAGAAAACCAGCAATGGCTTCAGTGTTCAGTGGATGGCAGGCTCCTACAGTGGCTCCTGGACTGAGGCTAAGCGCCGTGATGGCCGCAAACTGGTGCCTTGGGTAGACACTATTAAAGAGTCAGACATTATTTACAAAAAAATTGTTCTAACGAGTACTAATAAGCTGACTAATAAAGTTGTTCAGAATTTACGATTGCTGTATGCTGCCAAGGATGGAACTTCCAGCTAATGAATTTGTACATGCAGTCAAATTTACAGGAATTGAAATAACAGAAAAACTTGAAATATCAACTTTCTGGCAAAAAAAAATCAGTTAAATGAAGAGTAAGAATGGAACCTGGGATGCAGGAAAAAAAGAAGGAAATGTTTGGTAAACATTTATGTGGGAGCTTCCTTCGCTGTTGTGCAGCAGAAACTTCTCAGTTCATTTTTACTCCCACTGTATTATAGTTTAAAAATTTGTTTATATCTTGAAAAAAACCTTTCTGTTAAAAACATAAACAAGTGAATGTTGGAAATTAGTCTGTTAATGTTCTTAATAAAGTGTTCTTGGAGTTTAACCTAGCAGCGGATGGCTTTCTTTAGCGTAGCCAGTTTCCAGGGAAGCACTGTTTTTACAGGCTGTAAAATGGCAGAATCTCCCGGATATAATTTTTTTCTGTTGAAGAAAAATAACAAGAAAGAAAAAAACCGCATGCAGTATCTATGACCTATCTGCAGGAGGAGGTTTTGTAAATGTAGATTTTGATGTATTAGGTCACCCTGAAATAATACAAGAAAAGGGATCCCCAGCAAATCTGGTGGAATGAATACTGCAATAAATTTTTTTACTTCTCTTTTTTACTTGTCTGTTTCCATTTGAATTTCTTATTGTAAAGATCTGTTTAAAACCATTTATATTATTTTGCAGCCTTTTATGTAAAATTTACTATATTAGTGGTTTTCAAAACAAGACATAAAATATTGTTTATACCATTTTTATAGGCTGACTTCTGAATAACTGGTGTCTTTTTATTTTTATCCCTTATAGGGTGTAAACACAAGTTAACTCCAGGGGTTTATTGTATCCTGCAGTATTTAGTATTAACTATATGATTTAGCACTGTGCCAAACACATTTTCAAGAGTACATTTTGATATAAAAAGAAAATATAGTTTATTCCTTGTATGCTTCAATTTCTTTCTAATACTGTCCAAATGGTAATTTGTGATAGTTTAAATTTGGGGAAAGCTGAATGACTATTTTGCTTAGGCTAACTGGTCATGTATGCATTTCTCTGGGTTAATATAGAGAGGCTTGTGTCAAGAGGAGATAGCTACCAGTATCTGAGGAGTGAATGGGTATGAGTCTGGGCAATTACACTACATTCCTTCACAAATGATTTTTTTTAAAAAATGCGTGTATATTAGCCTATTTTTTTATTAATTGAAAGATGTTTTCACATTTTGTAAATTGAAAAAGTACTATTGAAACCTTTCAGAAGCATTTGTTTTAACTATGTTGCCACAAGCCTTTCATAAGCAGTTTGCCTTTCCAGAAAGTAACAAAAGCAACAGATTTGCAAACGGAAAAAAAAACTAAAACAACTGAACTTTTTAGGGACATATTAAACCCTGCTGTGTTTTCAAATATGTTTATCTAAAACTGGTGTTCCTCAATAAGTAAATCTTTCTCTTATGTTTATTTTCTTTTATGAATATAATTTATGGTAGGAGGCTGTTTTTATGAAACTAGCTTGCAGAATTCTAATGCATTATTCGATTTGTGAGGAATAGTAACAGTATTCCAAAATATTCTCATGTACAGAAAAAACATTAAACCAAATTGATTAATAATTCCTCAGAATCTAGTTAGTAATTGTTCCCACGGGAAATGCCTTTTTGCTGTTTCACCACTGGAATCTTTCTAAACAGAAATGTTTTCTCACCTTTTTGTTTTCACAGTTAATGGTGTTTTCTTCACTGTGCAAAAAGCCACATCTCATGCTAAGATGGGTGTTGTTAAAGTAGGGAGAAGCAGAAAAAGCAGAAGTCACCCCTGCAGATCTGGAAGCAGGGAATGAAATACTGTATTTCTCAGGGACAAGAGCAGCTTTTATAGTGAGTCTCATACTTTGAGAATAGAGGGGTTGTATGACATGTCACATGTTATTAGTAGAAAGAGTTGAAAATACTTCACAAGAAAACTACTGAATGATTAAAAACAAGAATTTCATACAGATACAGTCTAAAATGAAGTTGTCACTAGTCTGTTAGACATTTCTGATCTTTTTATATTAAAGAATCTTTAATAGGTAATGCAAACATTTCCTTGTTCATAAAGAATTTGTCATGTGGCTTTCCCAATAGCAAAGGAGGGGTTTTATTTCAAATTGTTTCGTATTTATTAGAATAAAATTATCAGAAATAAATTAAACAATAGAAATCTAAAGTCTAAAGTTGTCTTAGTTGAGAGGATTTGGACCATTACTATATTGTGTAATATGTCTGTTGGATATACTATATAATATAGACTTATAAAATTAATTATAGATTATTGAATAAAATTTTCACTAGTTAAGAGTTGAATTTTCCTCTTCTGTACTACCCAGAGTAATATCTAGTTTTGTTTTGCCTATCACAAACATTCAGCTTACTTGCTGTGGAAAAAAAAGGTAGCAGAGTTCATTTTTGGGAAACAAATTCCTGTTAGCTGTTTATTACATGGGCTGACTATTTTCAGAGATATGAAATAGAAAGACCAAGGCTGCAGCTGTAATTTATGCAGTGCTCAGTCTCTGAGTTGCAGTTGAGGGTTTTACCAACATGAACCACATTATTGGCAACAGCATGTACCAAGATGACTTTTTTTTAACATAAAAAAAAATTTAAAAGGTGCTGCAGTGCAGTAATTGACACAACAGAATTTTACCCCTTTGTGTTTACATAGTTTTGTAGTATTTTTTTCACTGTATGGCTATAGATTTTTACATACATACTATAACGATTATTGAATTTTTTTTTTATTCTTACTGCTTTCTCCCTTTGAGTACAAGTTCTGTACATGAAAACTTATTGCAACAACTTACCTAACAAAGGGATATTTTCAAACTTTTAGAATTAACACTAACCATATTGTACTCTTTAAGAAAAGGCACTTCTACAATCTAAAAAAGAATTAAATTATTATCTTTAATTTTCCATTTCAGTGCTGTAAACTTGCAGAATAATTATTATTTTCATTATCTGCAGCTGTAAAAGATCATAATAGTTCATAACAAAACTTTAATTACAAATAAGAATTTTTCTAAATGATTCAGTATGCCCTTTTGCATTTTGTTAAGTTCTCTATTGTTTATATTAATGACCATCATGTATAAAGGTAGGCGTGGACAATATTCATCATAAGTATTTTAGTGAGGTGTGGCCATTAAAAAACTATTTAAAATTTAAATCAAACTTGAGCCTTTGTTTTGCTGTTGTGGCATCACTAGTAAGGATATTGTCACTGTGAAATATTTCGATTGTGCTAACCATTAGCTCTAATATAAAATACCTTTTAACACTGAAATAGTTCTTAAATGTATTTGTGGCTTGTGACAAAAAAAATTTTGTAATCGAGTCTGACTCATCTGGTGCTAGTTAAACAGAAGGATGTTCTGCCTAAATGCAAGTGTTAATAATATTCTAGAGTAATGAATGGATCAGTTCAATTGATCCTTACTGTAAAGAAAAATAATTTTAACTCTGAGCCACAGACAGATATTAATGGAGTTAAACTCAAACACCTAATGCTTTTATGTGCCTGACACCCTTAAGTCTCATGTGCTAGAAATATTGAGAACCCAAGGCACAAATTTGCTGCCACTCACCAAAGAGCCACACTGTCATAGTTTAACAGAGCACCAAACAGATGCTCACTCACTCTCCCTCAGCAGTATGGGGGAAAGAATCAGAAGACTAAAAGTGAGAAAACTCATGGGTTGAGATAAAGACAGCTTAATAGGGAAAGCAAAAGCTGCTCACACAAAGCAGAACAAGGAATTCATTCAGCCCTTCCCATGGGTAGCAGGTGTTCAGCCACCTTCAGGAGAGCAGGGCCTCATCACACGTAATGGTTGCTTGGGAAAGACAAACACCATCACTCCAAACATCCCCGACTTTCTCCTTCTTCTCCCCACTTTATATACAGAGTATGATGTCATATGGTCTGGAATATCCCTTGGGTCAGTTTCAGTCATCTGCCCCATCTGTGTCCCCTCCCAACTTCTTGTGCACCCTCAGTCTCCTTGCTGGTGGGGTGGGATGAGGAGCAGAAAAGGCCTTGGCTCTGTGAAAGTGCTGTTCAGCAATAATAAAAACATGCCTGAATTATCAACACTGTTGTATTTTGTCTGGCAGAGGTGGAGTTCATTTCCCCATAGCAGCCCTCACAGTGCTATGCTCTGCATTGGGAGCTAGAAAGATGTTGAGAACACACCAGTGTTTTGGCTACTGCTGAGCAGGGCTGGCACAGCATCAGCACTCTCAACATTCCTCCCCCCTGCCATTGAGGGCAAGATCCTTGGAGGGGACACAACCAGGTCAGCTGACCCAAACTAACTAAAGGGATATTCCATACTATATGACATCTGCTCAGATATAAAAGTTAAGGAAAGGAGGAGGAAGGGGGGGCATTTGTCGTTTCCAATGTTTGCCTACTCATGGCTAGGCTTCGCGAACGAAGATTTGGGAAGGGCTCTACCCACATTTCTTGCAAGCGTGTTGGTGGCTAAAAAGGCCAATACGAGAAAGGCATGTCCGGTTGCAAAAGGCAGAACAGAAAGACTCCTTAGATGGTATATTCTGCAAAGCTGTTTGCCTACTAACAAACCATTATATGTGCTGAAACCCTGCTTCCCGGGAAGTGGTCGGACATCACTGCTAATGTGAAGTAGAGAATAAACCTTGTTATTTTCTTCTTTGCTTGTGTGCGCACAAACTTTTGGTTTTGCTTTAGTAAACTGCCTTATCTCAACCCATGAGTCGTTTTCCATCTTATTCTCTCTCCCCTGTCCAGCTGGGGAGTGATATAGCAGCTTGGTGGGCACCTGGCGTCCAGCCAAGGTTAACTCACCACAGTCTTTTTGGTGCCCAGTGTGAGACGAGACAAAGGTAGTTATATATATATTGCATGCTATAGTATTAGTAGTTATAGAGAAGCAAGCTCCTGTGTGGGATGTGGAGTTTGTCACCTGCACTGCTCACCTCT